TATGAAGCGGTATATAAGTCTAACTGCTACTGCTATTGCTGTTTGGTCAAAGAAAAATATTTTTAAATGAATTGATTATGGATTGGACGGTTAAGAAAAGGGCAGATTAAATGAACACAAAGCATTTAACAAGGAGGCTGTTAAGTGGACTGAGTTGCCTAGGCTGAGTTGTAAATATCCTCGGAGTTGTAAATATTCCCATGCTGGCTGGGGAATTCGGGGAGTGGAAGGCCACTTAGTTTAAGATTGCCAAGGTTGCAAAACGCCGATTTAGATCAGTAGCGAAGATTTTTGAAGCTCCTTCAATGGACACGACACTACAGTGTATCCTTAATCTACCTGCCCCGTGATGAGGAAGGTGATGGCAGTGATATTGAGCGTTCTTGGTGATAATTTTGCCTTTTCCAGCTGTGACGTCGCTGCCTGCTTCTTCATCAGCCCCGGTTAATTGCACAGATGACGTCAGCGATAACCATAATTCCACCTTGCTGGAAGAAGACGTTTTGGTGATAGAGCAACTGCGGAAAGTACGTAATTGAAGAGACGGTTGTTTTGGTGGAACACAACATTTCTGACCTAGGCTTCCCCCAAAAGCACGAAGTCCCGACAAAACCCCTTTTATTTAACAACTGTATTCCTCTCTTTCACTTTCAGTAAAGACCTGGTAAACAGTCTTTCGAAGGTGTATTTGTGACCACAGACCTTATCTATCTTGGAAAGCAGCCATGTAAATATTTTCCAAATGAGGTGCTGTGCAAGGAAAGGCTGGGCACAGAGATTCACGGACAGATCTTCACACTCCTGAAATACAGAAATACAGTTGTTAAATGAATCACCCCAGTTGATAAGTTAATAACACGGTTCTTAAGTGAATCTGGCTCCCCCCCCCCCCCGTCTTGGCGTGGCAAAAGGGGATCACATGACCCTGGGATACTGTGCAGCCGTCACAAATATGAGCCAGTGGCCAAACACCTGAATTTTGAGCAGGTGACCCTGAGCAGGAGCACCTGAACAGGTGCTACAACTGTTCCTGCGTTTCACACACAACGGACATAAACCACTTTTTTCAGCGCTGTTTTCACTTTGAACAGTCACTAAATGAATTGTTATAAGTCGAGGGCTATCTGTAAACTACAGGTAGTCCTCAACATACGACCAGAGTTGAGCCCCAAATTCCTGTCGTTCAGGGAGACATTCATTAAGTGAATTTTGTTCCATTTCATGACCTTACTTGTCACTGTTTTTTTTTTTCAATTCAAAGTTTTTTATTTTTAAATATAAATTTCCACATATGATAGAAACCAAGTGTTGACTGGATCTTCCCTTTGACGTCCTCTCCTTTACCTAATCCATTTTATATCATTGCTTGGTTTTCACTTTCAGCCTCTTTTTCTTGTTTTTATGGTTGTAACAGCTTGTCACAGTTGTTAAGTGAATCACTGCTTTAAATAAGTTGGTAACCCAATTGTTAAGTGAATCTGGATTCCTCATTGACTTTGCTCGCCAAAAGATTGCCAAAGCTTGGGGTGCAGCAAAATGTCGTATATATGAACCAGTGGCCAAGTATCTGAATTTTGATTCATGATCATGGGGATGCTACAAACGTTGTTAAATGTGAAAAATGGTCATAAGTCCATTTTTTCAGTGCCATTGTAACTTTGAACTAAATGAACTGTAAATTTGGGGCTACTTGTAGTTAATCTTCTTTTGTTTTAACAATCATTCTGCCCTCTTTTTCCCAGAACATTGAATCCCGGTTAAAAGTGTCTTTGCCGAGCGATCTCAGCGCAGCCTTAACGGATGGCGTGGTGCTTTGCCATTTAGCCAACCACGTGCGCCCTCGTTCTGTCCCTAGTATTCACGTGCCCTCGCCTGCTGTCGTAAGTATTAGGGGTGGTCGGATACAGTTGGGAAAATTGACTCTTATTCCTCTTTCTCTTTCTTTGGAATTTTACTCGGCTCCGTATATTCAAGATTGCATTTTTGTAATAAATGAATATGTATAAAGCAACATCAAATCAGTGCCAGCCGTAGGCAGCAGCTGCCAAAAAAGCCAACACCGTTCTAGGCTGCATAAACAGAGGGAGAGAATCAAGATCACGTGAAGGGTTAATACCACTTTATAAGGCCTTGGTAAGGCCACCCCTATTGGTTTGCCGGAACCAGGTAGAACC